GCGATGCCAGACTGGATCAGGTAAAAGGCGCGGCCCACCTTGCAAACGACCGGGTCCCAGCCAAACAGCAGCGGGTCGCATGGCAGTGGACCATGCGACAAGTGGTTTGACCCAGATGCCCCCTCCTACGTCTTGTGGGGAAGAAATGGACACCGGTCCCGATTCGGGCGTCTGCGACTCGTCCATCGCGGGTCTGCCGACTCTAGACGCGAGTTGAAAAAGAGCGCTCGATGGAAGCCGAGCCGAATCTTCGCCTCGCCCTGGTGAACGATCTTGTCTCCTGGCCTGCCCACTTTCAACGCGCAACTCCTTCCACTCGAGCCTTGCACCCGTGATGCCATGAATGGCTCAGCAACTCATGTTGCTTCCCCTTAAGGAAGTTGTTTCGCCTGGGAACTCAACGCCTGGGCTCCTCCAAAAAGGAGGAAGACATGGGCTCACCTTCCCTAGGTGGTGGCGCCTTGTGTCTTGGTCTTCTTCTTTGAAAACGGGAAATCCCCAAAAAACAAACTCCCCCCCCCTCCTCCCCCCTTTTGGGGCATCCAAAAACACGTCCAACATCCAGTCACCCCCCGTGCGGCCCCAACTCGCGCTTCTCGGGTCGCGCCTCCAGACCTTGCGCCTCAGGTCCCGGGCCAACTTGGGCAGCTCGCAGCTGGGCAGCTGCCGCCGGAACAAAGGCACCTCAGCGCGCCCTCCGAGCGCCACCGAGCGCTTGCTGTTCACCCACGGGAAACCCAGAAGAAGAAAAAAAAGAAAAAGGGGGGGAAAGGATTCCTGGGGGGGGGGGGGGGAGATTTGGAGTTGTTCCCCAGATTGTGCAGTTGTTTTTCATGTTTGTGGTTTGTTTCTGGCGGAAAGGAAGTGACCCGAATAGACAAAGATACTTTGAACCCGGAACGAAAGGGCACCCCTCGCAAAACAACGAAGGCGGTCTTGTGTCGGCGCCCACTCCAAAATGACGAAAAAGGACTCGGTGGTTCGCAGCCAGGCTGTGGTGAATGCCTTGCTTTGCTTTCGTTTCAAACAGCGCCCCGTGGGTGTGGCTGTTTTCCTTGTGCTTCTCCTTAAAACCACCCCAACACGGGTACCACCAAAAACCGCCACACCCAAAAGAAACCGCTCCCCTTTGCCCTTCGCGGGATTCGATTCGCCATGCGATCCGCGAGCCCCACGGAGCGCAGAAAGGCCACGGACTGCTCGAAGCGCTGCCGCTCCTCGCGCGCGGAGCTCTCTCTCTCGAGCCGTCACGTCGGAAAAGAATTCGATCGCTCCCAACGGATGGGAAAGCGACCTCCGGCCCAAGACCAGCTGGCAGATGGGCCTCCTCGCTGTCTGTCCGGTCCCAGAAGCACGCCCGAAGCCTCGGAGTCCGATGGATTGAGACGCAAATCGCCAGGTCGAGAGTGTCAAATAGGCACCACAAGTGGAGGTGCTTTCCGAAGCCCCAAAAGCGTACCATCTAAAGGCGACACCCTCAGACTGGCTCCTTTTGCACTTGCTGACTTCAGCTCACAGGTTGAAGTTTGGCTCAAGCCCTAGTAACTTACTTCGCAGAGTGGGCGACCTGAGCAAGCTTATAGAGCTCTCTTGCGCCAACCTGGAACTCTAACTCCTCACCCGCACTTGGACGAGCCAAAAAATTGGCCGGGACGAGAAGGGCAATAGATCCCCCGGTCTAGATTGGTGGCTTGGAACTTTGAGGCGGCTTTGCTATGTCACCCCAAGGTCCTCAACCAATACAAAACACCAATTCGGGGTTGGTCCACTGTTCTTCCCCTTAAACTTTGTTGGACCTTCTTCAAGCTTCCTCTTGGACTCTTCCACACCCTTGCCGCTCAACCCGGGTGTCGTTTTGGAAGCCAACCCCGAGTTTTTGTTGGTAAAGGACGAGCAGAAGCAAGCCAATCCTCCTACTTCGCGGCTCGAGACCTCGAAAAGTCGGCGCGGCTTCCACCCCACTTCGTTCCATCCATCCCGCGCTTCGGCTCAGCTCCCGGCCCTTGCAGGCAGCCGCAGGACCTGGAAGCGGCTCTCGCGCTCTCTCGCCGCATGGAAGTGGCGGGGCTCATTCCAAATGAACCGCGGCAGGCAACAAGGGCATCCAACTTCAAAGGAACCGAGCACATGGCCATGGGCTTTGCAAAATCCGAAGCGTGCCAGTGAACATCCGATTCAATCCTAGGTCCTAAAGTAGGTCCTATAGGTCCTAAAATGGGTGGTGAATTCACCGACCAACCAAAATGGTACCTTTGGTTTTGACAGCCCTTTCCCTTAAAGCAAACCATGGAAAATGACGGATGGCTTGTAGGGGGTCATTCCATTTCTCATGCCCTGCAACGCACGTATGCCAGACCCAATGGCCTTTTTGTTCCACGGGCAAAAACAGATCCCTCCTGCCATTTCCTGGTTGAGAATCAATCCCCGGCGTGGCTTCTCGTGGACCAAAGCTGAGCTTCCGGCCTTGTCACCAGAACCGACTTGCTAGCGGAGCGGACATAGCTCCTGCCGCAACTCAGCTTCCCTCATGGTTAAGAACCAAACCACCAAGGAAGGGTTGTCCTCTCCTGACATGGAACCTGACTTTTCGGAATGGAAGACTACGTGCCTGTAAAGGGGGCCATTTCTCTGGTGCGTTCCATGGCAACATGGACAGAGTACTTGATTAGCGGCGTAAGCCATCGGCAACCCGATTCGAAGCGGCGCACCATCTCGGCACGATCTTCTCGGCCTGCCGTGAGGTGAAAGTAAAGTGGCGGCCGAACGAAGCAACGTGGTAACAACGTTCACCCCACCCAAAATGGTTAGGCCTTGTCCGTATTTGCGCTTGTGTCAACCTTCACAACAGTAAACGTGACACATGAGCCGCTGGAATAAAAAAGAATTGGTCCAATTTGGGCGGGGAGATAGTGAGTCCCGGTGGAAACTCCAAAAAGTCCCGTGCCCTCCATTGACAATTGCGCCTCGCGGCCATCAGCTTGCGCCATGATGCGCACTTGGGCCCAGGTTCGGGGCGAGTCGCGGAATGGGCGGTGCGTGGTTCAGCCGTTGCCTCCCAACGACGGGCAGGGGATGTTTTGTGAGATCCGGCTTCCTGGCCGACATGTCGTTTGCTACGCGCACGGCACACGAGTGAGCTAATGCTGCCTGCCATCAACAAGGACTTTTACGAGCGGAAATGTCGAATCCCGATGCGTGATTTCACGCTGGTGCAACATCACGTCCATTCAAGGTGAAACCTTGTATTGTTCCCCCGGGCCAGGAAGGAATCAGCATGAATCAACTGGCTTCGCATCTCAAAGGGTCCAACTTTGTCCGAGCCCGGGGAAGGGGGGGTTCAAGGCCCTTAAATCCCGCCAAGCGCCGCCAGCTTGACGTCTCCTGGCGAGTGAGCCAGCGATACATCGAAGCAGGGAGCGGATTCTCCATATCATCTGGCTCAAATCACGCCAGTCGTAGTGCCGAAGTTTTGTCTCGTGCTTGCACACCCCGGTTCCCTGAAAGCGGGGCGTCCAAAGCCCACCATGTTTCAGGGTTTCCTCCATTCCCCTTTTTGGAGCCTCCAAAAGTGTCGCAATTTCAAACAAGAAGCCCAACTTTTCTGGGGAATCCGCTGAAACTACGCATCTCCTCTGCCAAAAAACCCTTTTTTGGAGCCCGTTTCGGCGCGCACCAAAGCCAAACGCCCGGCCCCCCCCCCCATCCACCCCGCGCGCCAAAGCGACCGCGAAAGCGCCCGCTCGCCTGGGAAGCTGAGCGCTCCGCGCTTCTCGCCGCCGGTGCCCCCGGTGCCGTCCCCGCCCCAGGTCTGCAGCTGCTCGGCGCCTCTTCCGCGAAGGAAACCCAACAGCACGCAAAGGGCGCCGGTGTGGGCGCCGAAAGTGCCGAACCGAAGACGCGGACCGATGACGCGAGATGGGGGGGAGGGCCTTTTTTTTTTGGGGGGGGGGGGGGCTGGGGTTTTGGGGTGTTGGGGCGGTGTTTTAGGCGCCCGGTTTTTGCAAAAAGGGAAACCAAGGGGGACGACGACGATTTCGGGGGGGAGTCCCGTTTGGAGACATTCCCACATCTACTTCGTTCTATGTGATCCTGGCAGCCAACCCATGCCAACCTACCCCAAATGACCCAACTACAAATAAAAAGCCCCACCACTCCAAAAGACGGCGCAGCCAAGTTGGGCTGCATCCAAAGATGGGGGGAGTGGGCTTGCTTACCTGAATCATGCGGTACAAGCTTGCATTTGATCACAGAAAGTTCACGGAGGACAAATGCGGGAATTTGGAACAAGGTGAAGAAGTGTGCCTGACGCAAGCGGTCTCGGACCATAGCGGGCTTCGACGCCAGGCCCATTGGCACGTCGGGTCGACACCAAAAAGTTCGGAGACAATAACTCGAGAAAGAAAAAAGTAGCTAGCAGTCTATGCAACTGGCAAATTAGTTGATCATCTACCTCGCGAACCAGCTATCGAGAGAACTAGCTAACTGGCTAGCTGGCTAGACTAACAGCCCACTCACTCCCGAACCAGCTATCAACCCAGCCAGTTAGCTGACTAGAAAACGAGCTAACTAGCTACTTGGCTGGCTAGTTACCGAACTGGCCAGCCAACTAGCTACCAAAGTAGCCAGACTGGCTACCTAGCCAACTGGCTAACTCAACTCGCAAACCAGCTGTCTAACTAGTTAACGAAGCCAACAAGCTAATTGAGGTAACTGCCTGACTGGCGAACTAGCTAGCAAACTAGCTAACTGAATCAACTAGCAAGTTAGCTAGTAGCTAGCTAACTCGCTGGCTGACTAGCTACCCACGATGAAATTACGAACTAGCTTGAAATATATTTGTCTAACTTAACTAGTGCGCACAGGAACCACATACCCCCGGCTAGATTGGTACATGTACAATATGTACATGCATAGAGATATATATATATATATGTGCTGCCTATGTATACATATATATATATATATAACACGCATTGCCTGGACTTGTCTGCCGTGTTTTTGGGGGGGTGTCCTCGAAACTGGTGAGCACGCATAGACCTCGATGGGCGTGGGCTCCGGCGTTCGGCGTTCGGCTCGTCCGGCCGCCCGCCTCGCGCCCCCACGGCCCGCTCTGGGCCCTCCATCTCGGTGTCAGCCACCAGGCCGTCGTCCTCGGGGCCCACCAGTTGGGCCCGGGGCCCGTTGAGTCTGTCGATCGAAGCTTTGGGGCGGCTTTTGGCGGAAGGGCTCTTTGAGGCTCGCCAAGCGTTTGGAGTGGTTTAAGTCGGCAAACCGAGAAGGAAACCACCTTTGAGGGCCCTATTTGGACACGAAGCAAATCTACAACACTTCTGAGATGAAAGCCCACAGCCCTTTTCTTGATACGTCGTTTCCGTGGTGCTTCCCATTCCCCTCACTCCAACTCCAACTCTCAGCGCTCCCGCGCGCCTCGCGCCAAGTCGACGCTCCGCTTCCCTCGCGCGCCGACGCTTCGAGCCGCGCCTCGTCCTCCAAGGCCCCGAAGAGGGCGTCCTCGCCGCAGGAGCCGAGCAGCGCCTCGCGGAAGGCCGCCAGCGGCAGCCCCGGCAGCTCCCTGCGGGAAGAGCCGCGTTTTCCGCCCGAATTTCGAACGGCCTGCGTTTTGGGGCTGCGCTTTGGAATATCTTTTCAGAGCACTCGGTTTTGCTTGCTCTTGGACTTGTTCCCCTTTGTTTCTGGAACCCGAAGCACGAGCTATGGAAACATGTGCTGGCGTTGACTCAAAGGTTGCTGGAACAGCGCATGCCCTCTACCTTCTCTTGCCGCTCAGTTTGAACGTGCACTGTGGAAGGCCATCTTACGCCCGAGCGTTTGTGTTTCTGATACCCAAAATTCACGTGGGACACCTCACAAATGGTCTGCCCCTGGGCACGAAATTTAAGAAGGGACCTTTGGGACGTCAGAATTTTGTGGGGATGAATTCGCCACCTAGGAACAAAAACCTTGTGGTTCTGCTTGTTTCAACTCGTTATCTAAAACAAAGAACCAAACCACCAACTAAGGGTTACCTGATGGTGTCCGTCTCTTTATCTAAAAAAGCTACGAAACAAAAGAACACCGCCGCGCCCAGCTTGGCCCCCGGCTTGTCTTTCACCTGCCACCGCTGGATCCAGCTCTTCGCCAGCTCGGCGCTCGGCACGGGGCTCGCCTGAGGCGCTGCCCCCAAAAGTAGCGGTTGTACATGGGTACGGGTACCCCAAAATCCATCCCTTTTTTTAAGGCCTATGGGTGGGTTACATTGGATATTTAAGGGTAGTCGGCTATGTTGGTTGCATAGTTGCAAACAGTATTGGCTACATTTTGGTTGGGTTGTATGGTTATTGGTTATAGGCTGATATTGCTTGAATCTATTGTATTGGGTGTATAACCATTGCTTTAATGGTTGGGTTAATATAACCGTTGTTGACACAATTGTCATCCAAATTGGAGTCTGAACACCAGACGTGGGGGCTCCGACGTGCGACAACCGAATCTGAAGTGGTTGGAAACTTTGGGTGGACATCATTTTGGGATCCAACCACTTCGCCATTGTTAATCGAATGGCCATATACTGCAACAGGTTAAATGAACAGCTTGCAGGCCTTGCGACAAAGCCAACAACCCGCAGACACTCTTGGGGAAACGTCCCCTTAGGCCCTTTGTTTAATAGCTCTTTCAATTGTGCTGAGTGCTTATATGTTTTTGTTCATCGGGTTTTACAAAAAGAAACGCCGCTTCACCGGCTTTCGCTGCACGTGCCGGTGCCTTTGCCACAGCCATAGGGGTGCCCTGCAGCACGGGAGCTCCTGAGGTGCTGGAGAAAATCCACGGCGATGGGGTCACGAGTTGGGATGGGTTTCTCCCAGTTGGGTTTTATCCAAACCACAGAATTTGTCCACCGTGTCCTGAGTCTCTGAATCCTTGGTTTTTGTTCCCTTGGGTTTTCTGTCATGTTCCCTCTTTCACCACCCAAAATCGGGAGTCCCCTCAAAGAAAGACATCCTAAGCTGCGACTGTTCCACATGAACAAATTCATCTCAAAGAGGAGAGACGCCCCAAAAAACAACTGGACTTCCCCGTCAAAGGTCGCAAGAAAACTGATGGGTGTCCATTGAAACGATCGCCACTTTTGGAGGTCCCCTTAGGGCGTCCGTGGCTGGGAAACCATTTTACTGGTTTCAGAATCCCACCCCCCAAAAAAAAAGCGGACGAGCCACCCAGCCACCTACCTCCCAAGAAAAAAGCATACTGTTGTTTCTTTCTTGGTCTCCAAAATCCCCCCCCAAAAAAAAAAACAAAAAAAACACCCGCCTTCCCAAAAAAAGAAGGACGTGTTCTTTCTTGGTTTCCCGTTTCATCCCCCAAAAAGAGCGCGCGAGCGCGAGAAAGAAGGAGAAAAAAAACGCGCCCGGCCCCACCCCCCCGCTCTCCAAGTATCTCCGAGTCTCCTTTTGTCGAGGCTCCCGAGCCCCGGGGCTCCCGTCGCAACGCTCCCGGTCCTGCGAAGTGGCAGAGGAGGTCGCTGAGGCTCAGCACTCCGTCCCCGTCCGCGTCCAGGAAGCCGAAGGCCAACCGCACGGCGTCCGGCCACGCCTCGAGGCGCATGGGGAGCGCCGGGTGCCGGGGGCCCGTTTTTCTCGCGCCTTTTTTTTTGGTTTCCTTCTTTTTCGGTTTCTCCGGTTCTTGTTCTGCTTGGTTTTTTGGGGGAGGGCGCGGAATTCAAAAAATTGGAAAAGCACAGGAGAAAAACCCGGGAAAAAAAAGGAGGCGATGATTTGGTGTTCTTTTCTTTTTCTTTTTAAGGGAACGGAGGTCCCCGATGTTTTCATGACACAGACCCAAATGGTTCTCGAAGATACCCCCTCTTTCTTCTTTTCTTGCCGGGGGGGGGGGGGGTTTTCAGGATGTTGACAAAGGAAGCCAAAGGCTAAGGGAATACCCGTCGCCCAACATCTTCCGGGGACTTCCCTCCAAAGGAAAACCAAACCCACACCCCTCTCAGCTCCCCCCCCCCCCCGAGCACCCGAGAAAACCCGAGGATCCGGCGGAGCGGTCTTGGAGCCACTGGAAGATGGGCGCGCAGCCGAGCTCCCGGGCCAGCTGCCACAGGTACCCCGCCTCCCACAACTTCGGCTTCTTCCCCCAAAAGCAAGCGCCTTGGGGTCCTTCCTTTTATTCGGAACCCCAAAAAAAACGGACCTTGGTTTCTTGGGTCCTTTCGGTTCTTGCCTTTTTTTCCTGGAAAACCGAACAAACCAAGGCCGGCTAACATACAGGACACCACATATGAAACCTAAACCAACTTTCCCGCGGAAAAGCAAAGCCGTCCGGAAACTGCCCCACGCTTTCAGGCTGTTTCCCGGATAAGAATCCGCTCGCGCCTCGCGCAGGTCGCCGCCGTGCTTCAGCTGCCGCTGGCGCTCGTGCTCCATGCCCTCCATCGCGCCTCACAAAATGACCGCTTTTGGCCTCACTCATGAGCTACGGGCCGGCAAAATACACCTGAGCACAGCCAAAACCGCCAAACCAAAAGGGAAAAACACCGCGACATGGCCTGTTGGTCGGGCATTTTTGGGTCTCGTCGTTTCGGCCTCCGGCCTCCAAACAAGGGCAGGCTGAAAGGAGCGAGTCGTGGGGAGTCCCTTGACATTCCTCGAAACCCGAGTCATCGCTCCTCGGCTCGGCTCGCAGCGACACCCGCGCCCAGTGCGCCTTGCACCACGGCGCGGTCGATCTCCGGCTCCGCCACGGCCCGCGCCATGGCCAGCCAGGCCAGGCGCTGGAACCCGTCCAGGCGGTGCCATCGTCGCTCCCGCCCGGCCTCCACAAGTCACACAAAGAAAAATTCCCCGAGGCAAAAGAGAAAAACGAAACCACTGCAGGCGTGGGGGGGTGTTGACTCTTTCTTGTTTGGATTGAACTACGGGGGGGTGAGGGGGTGAACGCACCAACTCATCAAACGGGATTTCTGTGTTTGTTCCAGTTTGTGCAAAGGTGACGCAGTCCAAAACTTCCGGACTCGGGGCAAAAGGAGATTTCGGGTCCCCGGGTCCCCATCCATGCCCACATCCTCTCCCTCACGCGAAACCAAACCCTGCGCGTCCAAGCGTCCCAAGGAGCCACGGAGCCATGGAAGAAGACCGAGTGCTCCCCATCCATGCCTCAAAGGCTCGCTTGGCATGGCCGAGTTTTAGGATTCGACTGCGAAGCTCCTTTTGGTGTCCCTGAAAAAACCACACCCAAAACACCAAAACCGCCAGAAGATCGAACCCGGAGGCCAGGATGCAGGTGGAGATCGCGCTGGACTGGCCGCCGTAGCCTGGCGCTTCACCCATCCAGCGTGGATCACACCCAACACTCTCCCCGAAACCTTGCCCAAGGGCTGAGCGTTTCTGTTTTTGAGGCAAAAGATACCCTCCTTGGGGCCTGGTTCCAAGGTAAAAGGAAAACCGCCAATTTGGGGAGGCCTCAAAGAGTCTATGATACCAGCACGCCCTTGGAACAAACATTCGCCGATAGCAGTTGAAGAAGCTGAGGCCTCCGTCTCTTGAAAAATAGACTTGGTTCTCTGCCTGGCCAAGTATAGCATTCACCCTTGAAGAACACATGTTGGCTCTCCCAACATCTCAGGCATCAGGCCACGTATACTATTCTGAAACAACTGCTGGCCGACCTGCCACGCGCCCGGCGACAGTGCGCTTCGTCACAAAGGGGTGGCGCAAGGCATCCGTGGCCGAGCACCTCACGCGGCTCCCGTCGGGCTGAGAGAGAAACGACCACGGGCTGTACTCAGATCCCCCGCTAGATTGAAACCACGAAACACTAAGCTGAAAGGCTAAGGAAGCTGAAGCTCAACCCGGAGGACAGTGTGCAGTAGTTGCGGCATTCACAAGAGCTCAACCCCTTTTCTGGGGGAGTCAATCTGTATCCTTTCGATGCAGCCGCGGGGGGAGCTTGTTTGAAGCACCGCGCTTGCGCGGTAGCGGAAAAAGTGCAACGTGAGCCAACACTCCCTTACAAGCCATCAACGCATCCCTGGGTCCTCTTCGCAGATTCGGGGTTCAACTTCCTTCTTGAGCCGACTCGGAGCACCTCTGCCCGGGCTGCACTCGCAGGAGCTTGGCGATGAGGTCTCTCGCGTCGGGATGCAGCTGCAGCCACCTGGCAACGATCCTACGGACTCTGTAGCTACTGAAGCCCACCGTGCAAGCCGATGCGAAGGAATACGTTTGCCTGTCACCATCTTCAACGTGGCCTGGGATTTCTTCCAAGCGGCTCAAGTCGGCTACAAATTCATTCGTCGGCATCCCGACGTGCAACGGCTAGTGACAAAAAGGACACCCATCTCGCCCCCACAAAACGCGCAACCAGCCCAAAATCCTCAAGGCCTCGAATCGCTGGCGAACGGCTTCGGGTGACATGCTGAGGATCGGTTCCACCAGTCTATCCCCAGAATCGAAAGGCCCGGATCTTCGCACTCAACCGGCTCAGAAAATGGAACTCGAAAGCTGGCCCCAAAAAAGGAAGGAGCTGAAGCTCGGGGTCTTCAACTTGGAGCTCCCCAAGCTATCCCACCTACCCTGTCCATGGAACTTAGAGAACTGGCCGACCCCACGAGCCACACCTCACCACCAAGTGGAACGCAAGCCAAGTCGCGTTGTCTCCCCCTTCGGTGCTCCTTTTCACCCACCAGAATTCCGGGGCCCGGGGGGGGGGAGGGGAGGAACCGAACCGAGGAACCGAGGAACCGCCGCGTCGGCTCCGAAAACGGCGTCGTTGGGCGTCGGCGCCTCTCGGTCCGCCGGTTGTAGTTGCCGATGGCCACGAGGCGCAGCACTTCCTGCGGACGGCGGCAGGGCGGCAGGGCACCGCGTTTTTGGGCCCCGCGGGGGGCGGGCGCTTCGTTTTTTCTGAGGCGAAAGGGTAGCCGCGGTGGGAAACCAAGGAGAAAAGCTTGAAAGTGGGTGCCCTTTTTCTTCTGAGGGAAGCATTTGTTTGAGGGGGTTGTGGGTGTGACGTTTTTCTTCTTTTTAGAGAGAGAAACCAAAAGGAGGCCTCCAGGGATTCGTGTTTTTGGGGCTCCGGGGTTCCGAATGCAAGCCACGTGGCTTTTGTGGGTACTCAGAAGCGTCTCTTCTCGCGCCTGGTCTTGGGCCTCCTGGTGGGGCTGCTTCAGGGCTTGGTTGAAGGGGTTGTGCCCCACCAGCAGCAAGTAAAGGACCTCGTCCCCGCGTCGCAAAAACAAGGACAGTCCAGATGCTGCGCCAGGCCTCTAGCACCCTTGCTCGCCATAGCTGACGGGATGTTAGAATGTAGGGGCTACAAAGGCTTTGCCTCAAAATTTGGTTTGGTACCAGAGGCTGGGCAAACTGAGCCAGCTAAACCAGGAAAAACAACCTGAATTTGGGGCAGAAAGGGCGCGAGAGTCATCTCCCCACATCGGCCAAGAGGCGACCCCTGCACTCCACATGTCGCTGAGGCCCTTGATGGGCTCCCCGTGGAGGTCCACCGCCGGAGGCTCCGGCTCGATGCCCTCACGGGCCAACAAAAGTTGTGCTTATATTAATATATCTGAAAACATAATATCTAGATATATATATATATATGTGTTGTTGGTATATTTATCTATGTATTTCTTGATGTATTTGTTTATGGAGTTGGTCCGCCCCTTTGTCGTGGTTGAATGTCCAGGGTCCAACCTCATAGAAGAGACACGCCCAACTCGAAATCGGTCCCCAGTTCTTGGTGTGCCGAGCCCCAAGAAAAGACCAGCCCTGTTTCCCTCGAGCCCTCTGCACGAGCTCGAAGAATCTGGTGCCCATATGGCCACGGGCCCCGCATGTGTCATCCGAAGAAATGGAGGGCCGCTTTGCTTGGTCGAAAGTTCTCCGATGAAATGTTGACAGGTGAAGCGAAAGCTCAAAGCCTTCCTCGGAGACTTGACACGACCACCCGAAGTGAAAACTTCGGACGCGTGGGGGGGGGGGGGGGAAACGGGCGAATGCGTGGCGAAAAAGGCACAGGGTATGGCCAGGTACCCCCCGGAAAGCCCGGAGAGTTTCCTTCTAAAAAGGGCTACCCCCAACAAAAATCGGGCTACCCAAAAAGGGCTTCGGACCCTGGATTTTGACACCCGCCCATCTCCTTCACCTCTTTGAGGTCCGTCTCCCGCCTCCACTGGCGGATTCAGCTCCGGTGGTGCGTACCACAGGGAGCCAGCGCCTGGCGAACAGCTGGGCTTGGTTTTCGAGGCTCGGCGCCCTTTGTTTCGGGTTTGAAAGGGAAAACGGGGAAAAACCACCCCTCCTAGGTCCCCCTACTTGACACAGATCCATTTTGGGGGATCTTTGGCTGGATGGGCATGTTTTGCAACACTCTCGTTTGTCAATCAAGCGTCTCCTCATGCAAGACGTGCATCTCGCTCTCAGGTCGGCCCAACTGTCAACATCCGCTCAGATTTCTCTCGCTGAAGAATCCTTGAAATGGCGCAGTCCAGCCGAGGACAGCCATCTCCCTCACACATGGGAGAATCGAAGTGGCACTTACAAACCGATGTTTCCTTCAACTCATTTCCTGCAGCTGGTACCTTCTCTGGAAATCAACGGCCCCTTTGCCAGGCGGATTTCTTTCCTTACCCAGCAAAAAGTCGTGGCCATGGGATCGATCCGTCGGATCGTCATGTGCGTCGCTCACTTCTTGATGAACCGGGAGACCAGCACGCAGAACCCGATGCCGCCGAAGAAGGGCACGGCGATGGACATGAGGCCCTGGTCCGCGTCGAAGGGCACGTCCTCGCGCGCTTCGAAGGCCCGAAGGCCCGAGCTGCGTGCGGCCAAGGTGTGGGGTTTTTCCTTCTGGTGTCCATTTCCCCTGCAGACCCGAAAAAGGGGGCTGTCTCAACATAGGTCTTCTTCCTTTTGCTTCAATCTGGGCTTCCACGCGTAAAAAAGAATGTGGTGCCTTTCGCCCGAAAAAACCCGCGAGCCGCCCAAATGTGTTGATGTGATGTGTCCGTTCACTTGCAGTGGGCGCAAACGCACCGCTGGCCAGAGACAGCTGGCAAAGCAAGTCAGACATGTACCCAAGAAAGTGTAAAGAAACGCCCATCTACCAATCTGTGCAAAGTGATCCATCTCACCAACCTACACAAACCCACCCTGTCTACTCAGCTTCTCACGTGTACATCCTCCGCCAAATGTGCTTTCTGCGCATCTGTCTATGGCTGTAATTGTCAGCTGGCTTTTCATACATGTTCGCACAGACACGACCCCGAGTGGGAACCTGGGTCACTGAAAGAATCCATGTTCAGTGGCCAGCTGGCAACCAGCCTGGAGGATTTCTTGGAACCACGTGCGCCGTCGTCGAGGGGAGTGGCACTGTGTCATGCATTTGTTCATATGTGCGCAGTGTGTCTATGATATTCGTCCGCACATACATGTGCATATACATATACATATACATACACACACATACACACACACACACATACATACATACATACATACATACATACCTACATACATACATACATACATACATACATACATACATACATACATTGCATTGCATTGCATTACATTACATTACACTACACTACACTACATTACATTACATTGCATTACATTACAGTACACTACATGACATTACATTACGTTACATTACATTACATTACATTACATACATACATACATACATTACATTACATTACATTACATTACATTACATTACATTACATTACATTACATACATACATACATTGCATTACATTACATTACATTACATTACATTACATTACATTACATTACATTACATTACATTACATTACATTACATTACATTACATTACATTACATTACATTACATTACATTACATTACATTACATTACATTACATTACATTACATTACATTACATTACATTACATTACATTACATTACATTACATTACATTACATTACATTACATTACATTACATTACATTACATTACATTACATTACATTACATTACATTACATTACATTACATTACATACATACATACATACATACATACATACATACATACATACATTACATACATACATACATACATACATACATACATACATACATACATACATACATACATACATACATACATACATACATACATACATACATACATACATACATACATACATACATACATACATACATACATACATACATACATACATACATACATACATACATACATACATACATACATACATACATACATACATACATACATACATACATACATACATACATACATACATACATACATACATACATACATACATACATACATACATACATACATACATACATACATACATACATACATACATACATACATACATACATACATACATACATACATACATACATACATACATACATACATACATACATACATACATACATACATACATACATACATACATACATACATACATACATACATACATACATACATACATACATACATACATACATACATACATACATTACATACATACATACATACATACATACATACATACATACATTACATATACATACATACATACATACATACATACATACATACATACATACATACATACATACATACATACATACATACATACATACATACATACATACATACATACATACATTACATACATACATACATACATACATACATACATACATTACATTACATTACATTACATTACATTACATTACATTACATTACATACATTACATTACATACATACATTACATTACATACATTACATACATTACATTACATACATACATACATACATACATACATACATACATACATACATACATACATACATACATTACATACATACATACATACATACATACATACATACATACATACATACATACATACATTACATACATACATACATACATACATACATACATACATACATACATACATACATACATACATACATACATACATACATACATACATACATTACATACATACATACATACATACATACATACATACATACATTACATACATACATACATACATACATACATACATACATACATACATTACATACATACATTACATACATACATACATACATACATACATACATACATACATACATACATACATACATACATACATACATACATACATACATACATACATACATACATACATACATACATACATACATACATACATACATACATACATACATACATACATACATTACATACACATACATACATACATACATACATTACATTACATACATACATTACATACATTACATACATACATACATACATACATACATACATACATACATACATACATACATACATACATACATACATACATTACATACATACATACATACATACATACATACATACATACATACATTACATACATACATACATACATACATACATACATACATACATACATACATACATACATACATACATACATACATACATACATACATACATACATACATACATACATACATACATTACATACATACATACATACATACATACATACATACATACATACATTACATACATACATACATACATACATACATACATACATACATACATACATACATACATACATACATACATACATACATACATACATACATACATACATACATACATACATACATTACATACATACATTACATACATACATACATACATACATACATACATACATACATACATACATACATACATACATACATACATACATACATACATACATACATTACATACATACATACATACATACATACATACATACATACATACATACATACATACATACATACATACATACATACATACATACATACATACATACATACATTACTTACATTACATTACATACATACATACATACATACATACATACATACATACATACATACATACATACATTACATACATACATACATACATACATACATACATACATACATACATACATACATACATACATACATACATACATACATACATACATACATACATACATACATACATACATACATACATACATACATACATACATACATACATACATACATACATACATACATTACATACACATACATACATACATACATACATACATACATACATACATACATACATACATACATACATACATACATACATACATACATACATACATACATACATACATACATACATACATACATACATACATACATACATACATACATACATACATACATACATACATACATACATACATACATACATACATACATACATACATACATACATACATACATACATACATACATACATACATACATACATACATACATACATACATACATACATACATACATACATACATACATACATACATACATACATACATACATACATACATACATACATACATACATACATACATACATACATACATACATACATACATACATACATACATACATACATACATACATACATACATACATACATACATACATACATACATACATACATACATACATACATACATACATACATACATACATACATACATACATACATACATACATACATACATACATACATACATACATACATACATACATACATACATACACATACATACATACATACATACATACATACATACATACATACATACATACATACATACATACATACATACATACATACACATACATACATACATACATACATACATACATACATACATACATACATACATACATACATACATACATACATACATACATACATACATACATACATACATACATACATACATACATACATACATACATACATACATACATACATACATACATACATACATACATACATACATACATACATACATACATACATACATACATACATACATACATACATACATACATACATACATACATTACATACATACATTACATACATACATACATACATACATACATACATACATACATACATACATACATACATACATACATACATACATACATACATACATACATACATACATACATACATACATACATACATACATACATACATACATACATACATACATACATACATACATACATACATACATACATACATACATACATACATACATACATACATACATACATACATACATACATACATACATACATACATACATACATACATACATACATACATACATACATACATACATACATACATACATACATACATACATACATACATACATACATACATACATACATACATACATACATACATACATACATACATACATACATACATACATACACATACATACATACATACATACATACATACATACATACATACATACATACATACATACATACATACATACATACATACATACATACATACATACATACATACATACATACATACATACATACATACATACATACATACATACATACATACATACATACATACATACATACATACATACATACATACATACATACATACATACATACATACATACATACATACATACATACATACATACATACATACATACATACATACATACATACATACATACATACATACATACATACATACATACATACATACATACATACATACATACATACATACATACATACATACATACATACATACATACATACATACATACATACATACATACATACATACATACATACATACATACATACATACATACATACATACATACATACATACATACATACATACATACATACATACATACATACATACATACATACATACATACATACATACATACATACATACATACATACATACATACATACATACATACATACATACATACATACATTACATACATACATACATACATACATTACATTACATTACATTACATTTACATTACATTACATTACATTACATTACATTACATTACATTACATTACATTACATTACATTACATTACATTACATTACATACATACAAATGCACATATCTGTACATGCATGTGTGAATGCACAATATTGTACACATATGCTACCAAAAAGCGAGAAACTCCATTGCCCGCCTTACAAGGAAAAAAAAGTCCGGCGGCTCCTTCCACATGGTCCATCCCTGGCCCGTGTTGGAGTTGTACACCAGGCTCGCCGTGAAGGGCACCGGCATGCCCTCGAAAATCGAGTTTCCGAGATCGAGGACTCGAAGCCGAAAGTGGCGCCTTTGTGGGTCGTGCCCTCGTCGTTTTTTGGTTTTGGTTTTTGGTACACCGTTTGGCCCACCTTTTGGGGGGGTTCCCATTTGGAGAAGGGCTAAGTGTTGGACCTGAAATGGACAGAATTCAGGGATTCATGTCCAACCACTTTGACGTGAGTTCCCATGAAAATTCGTAGCCATTTGGGCCAAATTCCTCAAAAAGGAAAAAACAAAAACAAAAAAAACAAAAACAAAAAACATGGTGCATAAGCTCATGCCCCCTGTTTTTTGGATGCAAACAAATCGCGGCGGCTACATGACTTGTGTTCGTTTCTTTTGTCGCGCCCATGCCTTCCGCTTGTGCTTCGGATATTGGCGGCTTGGGGATCACCCGTTCTTTTCCAAACCCCCGGGCTCCAAATCAGCTTCCCGGAGCTTTCGAAGCCGGCGCGCCTTGCTGCGGGCCATGATCCGCGCCACGGTGCTGCTCACGGAGGTGGCCTGAACTCCGAGACATGATCCAAGTTCCACATCACAAGACGAACAACATATATATATATATATATATATATATATATGGTACCCCCCCCCCAGGGGCCTACCTTTTTGATGAATTCACTGGTATTTGCAGTGTTTTCTACCTTTTTTTGGGCTTTGGGGAGAGCAATGAAAAAAAAGCATTTCCAAGGACGTTCTGGAAGCTTCAGGCTTGATTGAAACCGATTTAAACCGATTTAACTTAAATCGGGCATGGATTCAAGATTCAAGATTCAAGAATCCAGGCCAAACTTTTCCAGGGATTCTTGAATCCAGGCGTCGATTTAAACCGATTTAAACCGATTTAACTTAAATCGGGCATGGATTCAAGATTCAAGATTCAAGACTCTCTGGAAAAGTTTGGCCTGGATTCTTGAATCTTGAATCTTGAATCCATGCCCGATTTAAGTTAAATCGGTTTAAATCGGTTTAAATCGACGCCTGGATTCAAGAATCCCTGGAAAAGTTTGGCCTGGATTCTTGAATCTTGAATCTTGAATCCATGCCCGATTTAAACTTGAATCGATTTAAATCGGTTTAAATCGAGACCCAAATTCAACATTGCACTTTGAGCGGCTGTACTTTAGCACAGTGTTGTGCAAGCATCCAAGTCCTGATTATTCATTCAATCTGTTTCAATCTAGGCCCACATTCAAGATTGCAGGTCAACGTTTTCTAGGGAATCTTGAACCCAGGCTCAACTGAAATTTCAGTCGGTCTCAATGGGTTTCACTCGGGCCTGGACTCGCGTTTGCAAAGAAGACTTGTCTAGAGAATATGGGTTCTTTCCTTATCAAATCCTGTTAAAGCTCATATTGAATTGCAAGTATATATTGGGAAAGGAACTCTATTTAAACTCGCAATCTCAAATTTGATTACTAGGATTCTGACCAAATACTTCCGTATTGAGTCCCAATTAAATCCGGTTCAAGTTCAAATGAGCATTTAGAGAGCGTTCGGTGGTGGAGATGTGAATTGAGTATGAAAAACGCTACACAACACTGTGTTTTACGGTGTTTTCTGACCAAGGTAGTGTTAGGACTAGTGAAAGACACAAGTTTGGGACCTTTGGATTCTTTCCTTATGCATTCCACTTAGTATGCTTTATCAAATTCAACCTTATTTCTGATTGAAATTCAATGGAGCTTAAGAAGGACATACTCCAGCCAAAATTGCGATTTAGATTCGAACTTAAATATTGACTGTTTATGTCAAATTAAATGGTACAAACTATTTTCTGTCCAATAGACCATTGTACATTGAAATTCAATCACTTTCAGAACTAGCTAGTCCTAGTTTGGTCCTAGTCCTAGTTGGGAGATCCTTGGTTATAGGCCAAGTATGGTCCCAGCTTGCTGAAATACATAGAACGTATAAAGGACATTACAAAGGAAGTTCGTTATGAATTGTAGTTAATATGTTGGTCAAGTTCTATGCAACTTCTAGCTGAACAATTTAATTTGAAATAAGGAGAATATCCAGTCAGAATTTACATGTTAGGACCAAATATTAAGCAGGACTTTTTTTCCACCAGAATGTAATACTTGACATCCAAATACTATAAGAAGTAGAATTAAATGGTCTAGTCTTAGTTTGGTCCTAGATGAGAGATCCTTGGTTCTAGTGTTAGGTTGCTCCCTAGTTTACTGCAACAATTAGAATATATACAGGACATTGCAGAGGAAGTTATACTTGAAGTTCATTTTTTGTAAGAATCTGAGGTGGGTCATCTAGTCCTAGTTTGGTCCTAGTCCCAGTTCAGAGATCCTGGGTTCTAGTCTCATTTGGTCCTGGTCCTAGTTGAGAGATCGTTCCTCCCAGTCCTAGATGGGCAATTCATGCACTGGAGAGGCAGCCAAAAGGTAGGTCCCTGGGGGGGGGGGGGGTAGCATATATATATATATATATATATGCATTGTGGAAAATGTATTGTGCGAAGACAAGTTTCTATACCATTCGAATATATATATATATATATATACACATATATATATATATATACATATATATATATATGTGTTCGAAGGCTCAACTTCGTTGCACGACGACCAAATTGAAGCCCGGTAGCACAATATGTGCAGCAGACTGCAATTAGTTTTTGACTGTGTGTGTCTTTCGTCCACGGTCGCCATGACATGACTGGAGAACCGAAAAGCCCCATCTCAGTCCACTCTCAGCCTGGAAATCCCGCCTGCATCATCTTCTGCACTGAGTCGCGTGGCTGCTGCATGGCGAATGCGCGAGCGAATGAGCGAAGGGCGCGAGGCAATGCGTCCGATTACTCAGATGCTGGAGCCGGCCGGCAATAAATCAGATGCAAGCGAGTCGAGCGACGGCTTGCCTCTCTAGCCTCAACCCGACTCTAAAGGACTTGTCTCACTCTGAGCGCCCGATTCAAACAACCACGCACTCAGGAAAATCCAAATTCACTGCATCCAAACCCACGTGAGCGCAATACGGGCATGTTGAAAAACGGGCAGGGATTCGTGTCCACCAGCCCTTAGGTGGTTCCCCAAATGCAAATTCAGCTCCCTAGCCGCCGCGCGTGCGAAATATGGACTCGCGACAGGCCTGTGGGCGGCGGCTTCTGCAGCTTGCCCTCCCCGGGCGGCGGCGCAATGGCGGCCCAGCCAAAGTCCCCCAGCTTCAGCTCCGCTTGGAAGGCAGAGACCTGCTCCGCTTGGATGCTCCCGTTTCGTTTAAGTTTTTCCGATTCGAATGTTTTTTTTGGTCCAGCTGTCGCTTTTTGTTTCGACAGTTTTTCCGTTTCTCTGTTTTATTTGGTCCAGCTTTCGATTTGTTTGTTCTTTCGGCTGGACCGAAGCGCTGTTCGCCAACACCGAGACTCCTGAGAACATGGAAAAAAAACACGATCGATCCGCCGAACCAATGCTGGCGATCCCGCCGATGCGGCTTTGAAGGAAGCCAAAATGAGGTCGTGGTTGATCTCTTTGAGAAACACCCGCAAAGTGCGGGAGGCCGCGAGGCGGCTTCAGGATGTGACATGCAGCACAGTGGGCCATGGAATTCGACAGAAAAAGCTGAGCTTGCGACAGTGACATCGAAGAGCATCATGTTCTCAGGCTTCACCTAAGCTCTCCAATCCGAAGCCACAAAAGCCACCAAGCAAACAAAATGGAACATGTGTATCTCCGGTTTTTGAGTCATTCCATTCATGGTTCTCAGGGAAAGCTTTCAACCATTTGGGCCCATGTCAGGTCCCGGGTCCGAATCTGCCATTACAAAACCTCCACCCCGCTCGAAAAAATATGCCTGTGAAAATGAGGTAACCCCAAAATGGGGGCCCCTGGTATTTGGAATCCTGGACCTGCGGTCCATATCCTGCTAAAACTTTGGATCAGCCATTTCCGTTTCACTTCCGGCTGGGCCGCCGGACGTCCTGGTGCTCCACTCCGCAGGAGGCCAGGTGTTCCAAGGCCATGCAGAGCTGCCGCAGCAGCCGCGCCACCAGCCGCTCCGGCAACCCACCCTTGCGATTTGGACCGACGTGCCGAAAGCCCGAAATTGCCGGCGGAGGGCCCCCCAATTGCTTCCGTTGTTTTTGTTGTCGTTGTCGTTGTCGCTGTTGTTGCGGTTGTTGTGGTTGTTGTGGTTGTTGTGGCTGTTGTGGTTGTGGTTGTGGTTGTGGTTGCGGTTGTGCCTGTGGTTGTGG